TTATCTATATAATTGATGAGTCAAACAAAGACAAGAAAACTTTTATAAAAAATGTGATAAAAATAAATTGTTATTAAAATTATGTTTTAATTAGATAAATTTATTATTTGTTATAAAATACTAGATAGTTACCTATATTTATTTAAATTGAAATTATATGTATATAATTTTTTTTTTAAAGAAATGTATTTTTGTCATTCACTCTATGATACAAATGTATACTTAATTGTATACATCTACTTGGTATAATTACTTATATAAAAACAATTCATGTTACCCTATTTATTACTATAATTATTATTTTTTTTTTTAGCACATTTATACTAATTTTGTATAAGATGATTTTATGTGCAATAGAAATTATTAACAATTATATTGAACAGTACTACAGCATAATGTTAATTATAAAAAAAGTAGACACAGTGAAAAAAATATGTAATATATATATATAAGTTAAAACATTTGTATTTTATTTATGATTTTTTATGTACTTATTTTTTTTTAATTTGGCCATTTACTTAACAAATATATTACGGAATATACAGTGAATTAATTTTTTTCCCAATATATTCAAATTATAATAGACCCTTAAACTATTAATAATRTGTACAGTATATAGGTATATATTAAATKATGGTAAGATAAATTAGATGTACATTAATATGGAAAATAAAATATTGTTTTAATTTGGCTCGGTTAACCAAAATTAGTGGCATAAGTCATCAATTTTCTAAAAGAGCTATGTAGAAACAACTATAATATATTCTAATACTTGCTTCTAGTTCATCACAACTCTAACTCCAATGGGATGAGTTTTATGAGCAAGGATTGTGACTTATATTATTTGCATATATCCTTTTTTTTTTAAAGATATTTCTGTTGGTTTTATTAAAATACAAATTCACMATAAATTTTCATAATTAAATCAATGATTKTAATAATTTGGGTTTTTTACATTTAAAAGGATGCTGTACCTTATATGAATTGTCACTGTATTTTACATGTGTTACRTAGCAAATCTATGTAGTGAACTCTTWCTTAMKAAGTTAATATTAGTAAAATTTACATATTATCAGATTATAAAATATAATAAACAATCAAGTGAATTTACTTTTCATAATTAAATTTTTAAATTAGTTATAATTACTTATTTAATTCATATAAATTGTTTTATAACGCCCTTATATTATGTATTAAGGTACTAGCACTGGTCTTTTATTATTCTACCACAGAGAATAAAAATACTATTATCCCACCATTAATAAGTACCATTCGTATAATATTAATTATTAAAAATTACTAACTCCAAAGAAAAAGATAGAATATAAATAAAAAATAAATTTAGAATGAATATGATGTCATGGAGGTGACTAAAATTCTAGATTATTTAGTAAAACATGTTCAAAAGAATCCTTTTTACTTCAGCTGCCAAATAGGAATCAAGCTAATCATTCCACAACATCAYTTATTTCGCCATTTTTAAACACCTCATGTTTTGGAAGATCACAAAGTTGTAATCATAGTTAATTTGACCGTGATAATAAACTGCCTCTTTAATATTAAAATAGGATTTATAGCAATCCAAAAATATTCTAAATAGGTACAAACATTTTATTGAGTCGAGTCGTTAAATAAGCAAATACAATTATATTATAACCACAGAATAATTCAATAATGTGTTATAACTAACAAGTAACAAATATTTTTAAAAAAACTACTCAAATATTTCTTTGGACCACTACTATATATTAAAAAAGGAATTTTGTTTGAGGATATTAGGTAACCAAAGGTAAATTTAAATATTGGAAGCTTGTAATGCATCATATATTTGTATGTATTATAAAGAAAATATTTATTCATCTTTTTATACAATCATTAATTATATATAAAACTTCAAATGATAAAATATCATGTTATACCTTTTTTGGTCGATTTAAAATGGTTTTTTTTTTTTTTACAAATGTAATATAATTAACAAAACTTAATTAAGTCATAAACATGTATTTTTTTTATAAATATGTACATAGTAATAATATTTAGAAACTTGAAGAGATACTTGGTTACTGTTTTACAAACTAATATGTTTTATGTAAGTATTCAATGATTTGAGAAAACTAATGTATAACATATTACAATTTTACTATTTTAGTCAAAATTATGTTATAATTCTCAGGTTAAGTAAGTAAGTCTCATGAGATTTTTTTAATAAAACTACCAATACAATTAGTAATTTATTTGGTAAATGTTTTTTACACTTAAAATTAGTTAATTGAAGGTGTTACATTATCTTTCCACTGTATTTCAATATATGGCCACTTAGATTGTAAACAAGATTGCAAGTTGTTGTCCTCAGATATACATATGACATCRGATTCCTGGATTATAGCATTACCTTCTAAATATGTCACCTTTGAATTAGGATTGGATCTCGGTTGTCCATTGTAATGAAATACCATAAAAACATCTGGAGTTCTGGTTTCTTGTTCAGAAAAAAATTCTTCCATAAATGATGGCATTAATATGATACCTAGTCCTTCGGAATCCAATTTTGAGGACATCAGATTTACACTGAAAAATCAATTATATCATATTTCATGATCTAAACTGCCATTAAATAAATTACATACTATTCATCATCAGATACAAGGTCTAATTTTTCYAACAATGGCTTTAGATGTTGAGTACTAATGAAGTTATTGCCATCTTGATCAAAACACTTAAATGTTCGTCTAGCGATGTCAGCTTGTGTTTCTTTGCTRACCAAATTACGGTTAAATGAGAACAGAACTGAAATAGTGAACATAAGGTTTAGGTTTGAAAAAAATAACAAAAATTGTTTCCAATACCAGTAAGATGTGTATCGCTGCCCAACACCCAGACCGGGTTACATGGATTTTTTAAATAAGTTCCAACTTGACAGTATCTTAAATGTTCTAATAAGGTCAAAAATCCAATTTCACTTTGCTTTTCAATACCTTGCAATTCTAAAACAAACAAGTAATTTTTTTTTAATTAAATAATTAAATTTATAATTTTCAAGACTTACTTAGCCCAGCAACTACTTGATCGTTATTAAATACATTAGAAACTGCTTGTCCTGTAATCATCATATTTATTAAGCTTTGGCTACCATAGCCAAATTCTTTATCTATCAATGACACTTCTAAATCACATATTTCTTCTTTTAATTTAACTAAACCCTACAAGAATAATTGTATTAATTCATGCCTAAATGTTAATATATATAATTTACCTTAGAACGCATGACTGTATACAAAAATAACAAAACTCCGAATGTATCACGCAAAAAATTAATATGGTTGTTAAAAAAAGTTTCAACACTATCTTTATTCACCTGTTCTACTCTAGAAAAATGTAAATAAAATAATTCAGCATGTGTCCAGCAGTCCAGCAATATAAATAAAAATAAACGATACATACTTCAACATAGAATGAAACTGACTGTGTTCTAGGCACACCGCTTTATCATCAATACGTACAAATTTCAAAATATCACAGCCTTCTGTAGCTTGGCAAAGGATATCACAGGCGGCTTTACACAGAAGATGATTTTGTTCTTCAACTTCGGCCTATAGAACATATTATGAATTTTAACAATGCACTACTAAACTTGTTTGAGTTAAAAACATACTTTTTTCCAATCATCATCAACAGACTTGTTGTTGACAATATATTTRACAATGTATGCCTGCATCGGTGCTAATACAGCACAAGGTCCACCTTCAAATTGCACCAGCGCTGTCGGTTCATCTTCACTGAAACAAAAGCCTGACAACGATTATT